AAAAGCTAGAAAAATAAAAAGCCTTAAATACAATAACTTTGAAAAAATAAATTCAACATTTCAAACCTCACCTCAGATATCTCTGGTTCAGCAGACTGGGCCAATTTCTGCAACTGCTGAGTGTAGGCTGGGGATATTTCAGTAATGGGCAGAGTGGCCAAACGGTTGCCAGGCAGCGAAACAGACACATGATACTCATGAGCTTCTCGCACACATCCCAAGACACACAACTCTGTGGTGAGACACTGAAATAAAAGAGAGTCCATTACTCAGTTGTACATACTTTTTTTGTGTGCATATAGTAGCATATCGACACCACAAAAGAGATCAGGTTGTGGAGGAAAATTTAAAAAGAGACAAATGACAAAGGGAGGACCTACCACTGAAACTCTCCAACCACCCACTGTTGTAAGTGTAAGAATATATATCTGTTGGTGCCGTAAAATACAAACACACTCAGTGTTTAACCTATTCATGTGGCAGCTCTTTATGCAATACATACTAAATTACAGTGTTACAAGCACACCCCCCCCCCCTTCCAAAAACCCTGATTTACAAGACAACAGTAAACTCACTGTGATTTTAAACTATTCATAGCATGCTGACTATTTTTATTGAGGAATTGCAGACCTCAGCAATGATTTTAGAACTACCAAGAGTTGATCTGTTTCTTCTCGTTACATAGCTGAAACATATTACTACTGATAGAAATTACAGCGCTAGTGTGAAGTTCTTATTGTGTAGGAAGTTCAAAGGCAGCAATTGGTACTTTTCAAACACATAATATAATAAAAAAAACTACTTTTCATTAAAATAAACTCAAGCTATTTTTGTGTTTGGGGAAAGGGGGAAATGCCCATGTTTATAAATGGTGGGTCAATAATCACTTACTTGGTGCAGTGGGACACCAACATGGCCTTCTGAGCTCCTTTTTTTAACTTTCTTCAGAGGTAAGGACACAGTGGTCAATTCACTATCACTCCGCTTTCTTTTTATTGCCTTCTGCTGCTTGTTGGCATTCTGAAATGCAATGAAACGAAAGGAATATTGAGAAGAAAAAAAAAATCAATTTACTGATGGAACGTGGAACTGATACCAGAAACTGTCCAGCAACAATGACCAAGAAACAAAAAGCCTCCTGTGATGATATCACAATATGAGCCACTGATGCGCTTCAAATTGTCTGCACAAATGACTCCCGTGCAAAATCATAATCTTACAACTGTCATTAATCTATTAAGATCCATACAGAATGCAGACTCAGAAAAATCGTGACATTTTCATAGAAAGGAAGACACCCCCCCCCCCCTAAACAAGAACGAAAAACCGGATGTGGAGTAAAAAGGCAGAACTCGTTCAAGATTTTGAGAGGGACATGACCATAACCGAAAAAATTAACTTTAGACTCAGAAGATTACAGCTAGTGTAAGAGGAAAGTCAAGACCAGTCTCCAATTATATGAAAAGACCAAGAAAAGAAGGCTAAATACAAAATACTTGAAGAGGCATATGACATTATAACAAAGCGCAGAGCTTCAATTCTTTTCTTGAATCCGCTGCAACTGACATTTTTCACCATGTAATAGCCTAATTAGCCGCAAAAGCTTCCTCGAAGGATATATTTATTAATTTAAAATTGTCCTAGAAGGCCACTCATTGTTGAGGAGAAAAGTGGTTGTCTCAGAAGACAGTTGGACGTCTTGAACAATGTCACTATAATAATGAAGAAAAATGCAGGGGTGGGGATGGGAGATTGTGTTTGTGTGAGAGAGAAAGTGGGAAGTGGTCATTTGTACAGGTGACCGTCATGGGCAGATGGCTGTTAGAGCAGGTTTGACTCTTGTAAAATTGAATGTAGGCAATTACAGCAAAACACAATACAGTCCAACCCTTCGTCCTCGTCGGGGGAGGTGGAAACAGGATAAAGTAGGGGATAGCTGGGTCCGGGTGAAGTACGGTGTGACTTTATGTCACTGAGGCGTTACGCTAGCCGTGAAGGCCGTCCCGGGTCACTCTGAAACGTTGCTGGCTAAAGGGGCTCTGGTGAAACCGTGACTGGCCTAGCACGCCGACGGCGGATAATTACTGCTACAAAACAATTAAAGGAGAAAACACGGACAGAAACAAAGGCAGAATAACATGCTGGTGGAAGGATGAAACCAAAGAAGCAATTAGAATGAAAAAGAAGAAATTCAAGAAATGCCATAAGTCAAAGATCGAAGAAGACTATATAGAAAACAGGAAAGCGAGAAGAGAGACCAAAAGAATCATCAAAACTGCTAAAGAAAAAGCAAGGAAAATATATGGCGAGAAACTGACCAAAATCTGCAAGGAAAGCCCCGGACAATTTTATAAAAGTGTGAAGAGCATGCGGGTAAGGAAAGAACCATACAACCCGACATGCATTATAAACGACAAAGAGGGAAATGCCATTCTCGGCAAACATGCAATTAAGAAAAGATGGGAAAATTACTTCCAAGAACTTCTCAACCCAGACGTTTGCCACGGACAACAAGAAGAGTTCCAACCATCATACGGAGATCAAACAGAACCACCAATACTTCCCAGTGAAGGCATTCAAGACCAGCCCCAGGACCAGATGACATCATAGTGGAAGCCATAAGAGCTTGTGGAAACACCGGTATACTGTGGCTGAGGCGAATTTTCAACAGAGCCTGGGAGCAAAGAAAATGCCCAGAAGACTGGCAGAAAGCCATAGTGGTACCATTATGGGAAAAAAAGGGCAACAAACGCGACTGCACAACATACAGAGGCATCTCATTGTTAAGCCACTCAGATAAAATATATGCAAAGATACTAGAGCAGTGCATAAGACCTATTGTAGAGATAAATCCGAGCAAAGCTCAGTTTGGATTCCAAAAGGGAAGAGGATGCACAAATGCTGTATTCACATTACGATAGAATGCGAGAAAACAATCGAACACAACAAAGAATCCACCACTGTCTTTATAGACCAGGAGAAGGCGTTTGACACAGTAAACCATGCAAAACTCTGGAAGACACTCAAAAAGTATGGCGTCAGAGGACAAATGTTAGATAATGTCAGAGCTCTATATACCAACAGCAGAAGCTCAGAAGAACGAAGGAAGGCAATACAGACAGGTTCAAAGTAAGGTCTGGAGTACGACAGGGATGCGTTTTATCTCCCCTCCTGTTTATAATACCAAAGTCCAAAAAGCCTAAATGAATTTATGTTCGCAGACGACCAATGTCTTATTCATCATGACCAACAAAGCCTCCAAAATCACACTACCGAACTCAACAACACCTGTGAGAAATTCAACATTACAATAAGCACATCAAAAACAGAAGTTATGAAAGTGAGCCGAAACCATAGTCCCCTGAATATCCATGTCAATAGTAAACAACTGAAAATGGTGAAGGAGTCTAAATATCTTGGTAGCACTTTTTCTGAAAACGGGTCAATAGACAGAAAATAGAAATGCGAATTCAAAAAGCCAACGCTGTCACCTACCAGCTCGCACCCCCCCTATCTCATCTAAAACATCTCCATTGACACAAAGAGACAGCACCTCACTATTCATACCAACATTATGTTATCAGTGCAAGACCTGGACTTTAAGCAAAATTACAGCATGCGAAATGAAATGTCTCTGCAAAACCCTTAACATCACCAGACGAGACAGGCAGAGAAATGAAGAAGTAAGAGCAGCTAACGGCACTGAGTCCTGCCTGTATTACATAGAAAGACAGAGGATAAAATGGTTTGGCCACCTGTTACGCATGTCACCTGACCAGCCAGCCTCGAGAGCCTACAACACCAAGCACTCAACCTATAAAGGAAGATTAAGGCCATGCAAAAGGTGGATCGAAGGTGTCAAAGAAACCCTAAGAAAACATTACATCACAGCTGAAAGAGCTGCGGAGCTGGCCTACCATAGAAAACTGCATCTCCCCGACGCTTAACGGCAACAGAGGATGAAAAAATAAAAGTAGTGCCTATACATAGTCAAGTCTTAAAAACGGCATCATATTATGATCTTACTGATCAAGTTTGACCTTTGCCATCCGGCATACTTTCAACAGGCCCCCATATTCTCATTCCAAACCACTGTCACTATTAACTATTATGATGAAGGATCAATATTATTTTGAGATTGTTCACCTTTTTAACAGGCAACTCTTCATTCTCATCTCCTTTGCCTTCATCCTCTTGTGGCTTCTGTTTACGCGCACCACCACGAGGGAAATCTTCTTCCGCCTTCCACATTTTGTGTTTGGCTAGACTAGAACCTGAAAAGAAAGTACAAGCTTGAAAGAAATTCAAACATGATATTATTCATGAGTACACTGTAGCTTTTTTAAAGGAAGAATGAAAAAGCAGTTCATTTTCAGTAAATAAACACCACACTGTCATTACTATTACTTTTAGGATACTTCTGTATGCTGTGTCCAGGTCAATGGTCAATACGACGACAACAAATTGAAACAATGAATGTTAACAGTTGCATCATCACCCCATTCAATACATAGGCCTTAGACTTGCCTTAGAAGTATAATGCCATGAACATACATACACACTTAGAAGACAAGTTGTATTCATTTCAACCAGTCACTGACACCTCATTATAGAGTTCTATAACTTTGTCTTAAGTTACAATAAAGTAAACTATGTCAGAGTCATGAATGGTCAAGACAATATAATGTGAGGCAGCTTGGTGAAATCAGGTGCTCGTCAAAATACAGCAGAAATTGGAGAAACAGATTTTCCAATTAGTCTGTTTTATCAAATTTTTATTTTTTGGCTCAACGTCTTTTAAGTAGTTTTAAGTCCATATTTATAAAAACACGAATCATACTGAAATACATTGATTAAAAGCACACAAAAATGTAATTTTTCTGTTTTCAAGGACTCTTTAACTATTGGAGTCACCAAACTTTGGTGGCCATTTTCTCGCTAATTTCACCACTGAAATCAAGCGACCTCACATTCTTCAATCACAAACTTGAGTTCTATTTAAGATAGATAGATGGATATATTTATTTCATCTGAAGCATGGCATTCACATAAAAATCAGCTTTTAGTAATACCAATAACCCCATATATATGCCCAAAATTTGACGAGCGCCCGATTCCACCGCGCCATGACACACATGTAAATTAATAATTCATATTACATTACAATTTGAAATGTCACAAAAAAAACCCAGCAGTGTTGACAGCCAGACAGTGACAATGGAATATTATTTTCTATAGTATAGCGATCTGTCAAATTCATATCCAAAACGATTTTTTTTTTTGGTCAGGCGTTGAAAACCTGAACGGGAGCAATACAATTACTCTACTACAAACTGAAAAAAAACCCCAAAACAAATGGAGTGAGTATTCTCACCCGGACTCCATACTATTTTCACCCGCGTTTTTCATTTCCACCTTTTTTATATTGTTTAGGTTTTGAGAGTCTATCACAGAAATTATGACATGTTGGGATTCAACACTGATCATCTGTCATAGATCTAGATTCTAGATCTCTCCTGCCCTTTTTAACTCCCAATGGAGCTTTAGCGAAGCCTTTCCTGTGCATCCTTTTCTAGAGCTAGCTGTTTCCATGTCTAGATTCTGGATCTAGCTCACAAGAAACGGAGTATATCTACGTACACGGTAACCGAGCACCTAGTCTCAGTATCTACGAACGTACGCGACACTGAGACTACCTGCCTGGTTGCCGATACCGTGCATTCTATACTGAGGCTAGGTGCCCGGTTACAGTGTACATAGACACCCCGCACAAAAAACCCCCCTTGTTTCTGTATAATTACTGTAATTTTTGTTGAAAATGGAAGAAGAATAACAACACACTACAATGCGATAGTCGCCATAGTTATTGTACCCTGCAAAACCTGGCCATTTTGCAATTCCGAACAACTTAGCCAGGTTTTACCAGCTTCGAATAACTAAGGAAATGAGTGGCTGAATCCGTCTGCCTCGCTGTCAAGTGTTAAGGGTATCGTGTAATCATTATACTGCCTTATTTCACAATTTTTTATCAGCCTATTTACTTGTATATTATTTTATTTAGGTTAAGCCTACCTGTTCTCAACACCCAGGTGAGAATAAAATCCATTGTATTCTCAGACCGGGTGAGAGTAATAATAATTATTCTTACCCGAGTGAGAACAAAAAATGGATACTATTCTTACCCAGGGAGAGAATAGCGACAGACATTAAAACAAAACAAGTAGGCTAATATGTATTTGTTGGGCGCGATCTGTCGATTTGCGCTATCCATCGACCGCGTAGCGCATTTGGTTGATCAAGGAAACGCACGACAATCCATCGATTGTTGCGCATTCTGTCGATCAGCGGATCGCGCAGCGCCTTTTGTCGATCCGTGAAATATACTTACTGCGCATTCTGTCAATAAACTATGATGATGAAGTGAATTTAAAAAAAAAAGAAAATTGGTTTATTGAGCACGTCAGTCTTTGAGTTTGAGCATCCAAAAAGAGTTGTGTGATGAACTTAAAGTGTTAACGTTGACGGTTGAGTGAGGCGGTCAAATTAACACGACGTTAAATCGAGCACCTGAACTCAGTATTTGGACGGATGTGATTGGCTGCGAACTTCACGTGGTATTCCAAATACGGTCAAGATTTAATGGCTTGTGATAAATTGTTGTGTGTTGATTAAACATTTATTATACAAGTATTGTTTTCTTTATTTCCTTGATAAGAGCACCTCGAGCACAACCAAACTCTCCATATGAATAAGTGTTCGGAGTGATCATACTCACCGACCTATAAGGCCTAACCCTGATTGCACTCTCATTAGATCTACCAAACAGCAGTGTCTAAGTACACGATAACTGACAACTCAGGGTCTTTCCACCACCACTACAGCATCATCGCTACTTCCGCTACCATTTTTTTCCCACATGTTTAATTTGATTTTGTTGAGTATTGAGTTTTTCTGTAATTTAAAAAAAAAATCACATCGCACAAAACCGACAGCCGTGGCCCCTTCCCCCATAAGCAGAGAGTGCGATATCGCTACGCGCAGTCTCATTGGTCGAAACAATTAACTTTGCCCCCAGCAACGTCAGCTCAACATAGTTATGACGCAGGGAGGGCCAGTTTAAATAGAACTAGTAACTGGATATTAAAGCTCACGTCTCAATTGTTATCAAAAAGGCTTAGTTAGAGGCGACAAAATGATCACCTATAATTTTTGCCTCGGTGCCCTAGCAAATTGCCTCGGTGCCCTCTGAATTTTAGTCAGATTTATATTCGCCTTGCACGCTCAGCAGAGTGAGAGAGGGGAGGTGAATTTTGTCGCCTGGAGCGCTACGAGGGTTAATATACAGGTAGACATTTCCATCTTTTGGTGCCATGCGGTTGGATACTTAGATGTAGTCACGTGATCGGAGGGGGGTGTATCCTGGTCTGACGTTAAACAAGATGGGCGGCTACCTAAAAATAGTTTGCGCCCTTCTACGTTTAATCGCATGAAATAAGGGAGGACTTCCGTAACGAGCGACCACCCCATCAAACACAATAAAGAAGAGGCCTAGACCTAACCCTACTCCTAACCTTAACCCTACCCCAAGCCCTCAATTCTGCTCTGTCTCATAGTGGTTGTTCGTTACGGAAGTCCTCCCGAATTGAGGGCTAGGGGTAGGGGTAGATCGAGGGGAAGGGGTAGGGGTAGATCTAGGGGTAGGGTTAGATCTCTTCTTTATTATGTTTGATAGGGTGGTCACTCGTTACGGAAGTCCTTCCCTAATAAAACCCTAAAATCCTAAAAAAAAGCTACAAAATAAGGTGATCTACTAATCCCCGACTCAGACCTTCAAAACTTTGAACTACGCCTAAAAATGTGCAAAGGAAGTGGCTATTCTCATCCGGGGTGAGAATAGAAAAACGATCTACCTCTCACCCCGGGTGAGACTTGTCAGCGTAGGCTATTCTCACCCGGTGCGAAACAAGACCTGCTTTTCCTCATTTTGGAATACTGTCTATCGGTGTGGATGATCAAATTGATAAAAGCCAAGAAAAAATTACGTTATAGCACAAAAGTAAGCTAATTTGATCGTCTTCAAAGATGCTATGGCTATTTCACTGTTCGAATCGAGCCGAACTACGCGGGTCGCCATTTTGTTTTGCCCGGAAGTTCTCGCAAAATCTACTCCTCCCCGCTCTCTCTCTCTGTTTCTTTCTGAATACTGTCTATCGGTGTGGACGATCAAATTGACCAAAACAAAGTTAAAAAATGATGTTAAAACACAAAAGTAAATTAATTTGGTTGTCTACAAAGATGCTATGGGGGCTCTCGTGGCCTAGAGGTTAAGGTGTTGGCCTCTCATTCAAAGGTCCCGGGTTCGAATCCGGGTAGCGACCGAAGGATTTTCTTCTCTAAAATTGTCTCCTTTCACCTCCTTTCTAGCTCTCTAGCAATGTTCTGTTGTCTGCTTTCAATTCCACTTTCTGCCCCCACCCCCTCACCTCCTTTGCCCCCTCCTCTGGGCTCCTGACTCTTTCTGCAGCCTTTCTACTGCTACTCCTTGGCTCCTCCTTACTGCTGTCTTTCTGCCACACCCCTGATCTTCTGGTAGGAAAGATCTACTCCTAGCCTTCTCGGACAAGGGCGAAAAATCTCGGAGGGCTCGTGTGCAAGTTGCGCACGTTAAAGATCCCTTGGTGGTCTAAAATCGATAAGAGTAGGCTTCGGCCGCCACCCGGGCAAAATTCAAAAATTTCCTACCAACTGAAAATATTAGGTGTGTCCCGCGCGCTCATATGACCTATGCAGTTGCGAGCGCCGTAAAACACTTTACAAAAACAAAAAAAAACAAAAGATGCTACGGCTATTTAGCTTTTCGAATCGAACAGAACTACGCGGGTCGCCATTTTGTTTTGACCGGAAGTTCTCGCGCTACTCCTCTCTCTCTCTCCACTGCCCACAGACAAAATTGTACGCTTTTAGTAGGCTACAGTTGTTGTAATGGAACGTTTGTGCACGGCACAGAATTCTACAATTTTTCTGTTATCAGTGTAGAATTCTGTGGTTTAGGGTGAACGCAAAATTTGTTGGCCTAGATCTAGGCTATAACGGTGAACGCGCACCGGGTGAGAATAGCCAAAAAATTTGCCTGCACTATTCTCATCCCGGGTGAGAATAGAGGTGGCCATGTGCAAACTAGATCTAGATCTAGATCTACCGTAATTTTGTCATAAACAGATCGTACAGTGGTTTTCAGTCTTCCATCATGATTTTGGAAGCCATTGAGTACAATCTTGATGACATAGAATTTTGATCCAGATCTGATGGTGGTCGCTCGTTTCGGAAGTCCTCAATTGAAGAATTAAGGCCACCTCTATTCTTACCCGGAGTGAGAATAGTGCAGGCGAGTCTTGTGGCTATTCTCACCCGGTGCGCGTTCACCAAATTTTGCGTTCACCCTAAACCACAGAATTCTACACTGTGATAACAGAAAAATTGTAGAATTCTGTGCCGTGAACAAACGTTCCATTACAACTGTAGCCTACTAAAAGCGTACAATTTTGTCTGTGGGCAGTGGAGAGAGAGAGAGAAAGAGAGAGAGGAGTACCGTGTAGTTCGGCTCGATTCGAAAAGTTAAATAGCCGTAGCATCTTTGTAGACAAGCAAATTAATTTATTTTTGAGTTTTAACATCATTTTTTAACTTTGTTTTGGTCAATTTGATCGTCCACACCGATAGACAGTACTCAGAAAGAGACAGAGAGAGAGAGAAGAGGGGAGGAGTTGATCTTGCGAGAACTTCCGGGCGGGTGAGAATAGCCACTTTCAAGAATTAAACGTGCTAAAGTCTTTATTTATTAAAGTATAAGACATAATAATAAGATCACCCAAAATAATACCATTTATTTGATCTAGAAATCTAGATGTAGATATAGATCTAGATCTAGATTCTAGATCTAGATGTCTGTCTAGATCTAGATCTAGAATCTATATCTAATATCTAGATCTAGATCTCACTGGGGTAAGTTTGAAAGACACGAGTCACCCAGACTCAAGACAAAACAACGTGCGTTGTTAATGTTGTGTATATATTAGAACTTTGTCTTTGGTGTAGATCTAGTTTGTGCGTGTGTTTGACCCACTCTTACTCTTTACAGGAAATGTATTGCAATTGACCGACTCAATAATATATGTCTTTATTTACAGCATCAATCATAAATAAATTTTATCTGTGAATGTAAATAAAACAAAGAACTTTACATCCTTGTGGCCACTCACCCGTTGTAGACAGTTTGTTTTGGTCCTGTAATCCTCATGCGCGAAACACAGGGCTGCGCCATATTCTAGGAACGGTCAGAATTTTTTATAGCTTTGGATTGGATACTATTCCCCCCCTTCAAAAATCTAATTCTGATCAATCAAAGAAATTCATGACGATAAAATTGATAAACGTTGAACATTAACTAATTCAATAGAATGTTCAAAAATATTAATTTGATAGGCGTACGATATTTTTAAAAAGATAATTGACGCCGTTCCTACAATCATTAGTGAGGAAATGAAAATTTTCTACTTCCGCTATCCCTGTCGTCCCAGTCAACTTGTTGCCGCAAAGGTCAGGGTGAGAATTTGTGTATGTCAGACACATTAAATCTTTCTATGTATATTTTCTTAGCACTTTTCTGTACCCTTTTCAGCTCCAAGTACAGATCTCCTTAAATCTACAACTTATTAACTTACTGACTGCCATGGGTTGAAATCTCAAGCCCAATGACAATGACAGTGTTACCTCGGCCTCGACTGCTGGCATCTCAACTATCAACTTCAAGTCTCCTCTGCCTCAAACTCAAGGGCCAAGGGTGTTTTACTTTCAGATCATCATTGTCGGAGAGCTGATCTAGATCTAGGCCTAAGCCCAAACTATACTGAGTTAGCAAGTGGCTGCTGGGCGACAATTTTTGGGGGCCACCTCTATTCTCACCCGGAGTGAGAATAGTGCAGGCGAGTCTTGTGGCTATTCTCACCCGATTTGCGTTCACCCTAAACCACAGAATTCTACACTGTGATAACAGAAAAATTGTAGAATTCTGCGCCATGAACAAACTTTCCATTACAACTGTAGCCTACTAACAGCGTACAATTTTGTCTGTGGGCAGTGGAGAGAGAGAGAGAAAGAGAGAGAGGAGTAGCGCGAGAATTTCCGGGCAAAACAAAATGGCGACCCGCGTAGTTCGGCTCGATTCGAAAAGTTAAATAGCCGTAGCATCTTTGTAGACAACCAAATTAATTTACTTTTGTGTTTTAACATCATTTTTTAACTTTGTTTTGGTCAGTTTGATCGTCCACACCGATAGACAGTATTCAGAAAGAGACAGAGAGAGAGAGAAGAGGGGAGGAGTTGATCTTGCGAGAACTTCCGGGCTTGAATTAAATGGTAAGGAGGGCAGGCAAAAAGTTGCCTCGGTGGGGCCTAAAATTCAGAGGGCACCGAGGCAATTTGCTAGGGCACCAAGGCAAAAATTATAGGTGATCATTTTGTTGATTTAAGTTGGTAATATTAGATCGTGCATAACAACGTTTATATAAAAAACAATACAATTTATTCTTGCTTCTACAAAAGTACAGAGTTATTGGAAAATTTGTAAAATTATGAATGAAACTAAGTAAATCAAAGTAAAATCCCTTAAAAACAAAAGCACTAAAAATCGCAGTTTTAAGTCGAATTAATGATCATGATTGCCTCTGACTTAATTCTTTTCCTACCAGGCCAAAATCCACCACTGGCCCAGGGCTTTTCCCTGGCCTATTTTTACGCCCCTACCCCGCGAAAGGAAGATGTCAAAACATCCACCTAAGCACAGTTAAACCATATCATATGGCCCATCAAACTGAAGGTTAAAAAATAATCTATCAGATGGTGATACAATATTGAAGATTTATTACAATTATATTAGTGTGGGGTTTCTAAAAGTGATAGTGCGATATCGAAGGTGTCATATTAAATCAACTATTTTCCAGCTTTGAAAGGTCATATCTAAACAAGTACAACAACAGCATCATTCAAACTTTCCAGGTAGGTTGCCTAAAGTAATGCAAAGAAATGCTGAAAGTTATACATGTGTACCTAATATAGAAATGAAAATATGAGACATATACTGAAGTCAGGGGAGCGATTTTATTTTTATTTTTACATATAGAAGGGGACAAAAAAAGCGCTGAAATGACTGAAAATCGTCTCTCAGTGCTATATTTTCTTTTGCATCTGCTAACAGGAAGTCTATTCTATTATTTTGAAAACTTGGATCGGCCAAAAATTTCTTTACTGGATTGGAATAGATTGCGAGCCACTCGAGCCGTATTTTGCGGCTCTCGGTCCAGCGAGGCAAGGTCGGGAAAGTGTTAAATGCCTTTATGACTAACTCTTATTGATTGGATTAATATGAATAATGAATATGACTGTTGACAATAGGGTACGATAGAAAACAGTAAATTATGGCCAATTATAATTAGGTAGGACATTAATCATTAATGAGATTCAAACAGAGTGGTTCACAGGCAGTGTAGTTAAATAAAAACAATTAATCATGGTAAATGTAAACAAATTTTGAACTTGTATGAAAAAAAAAAATGAGGAGTGAAAAAAAACAACAGTTTATGAACTTGTATGGAAAAAAAGAATGAGTAGCCTAACTAAAAACTGCTGTCTAGCAGTTAAACAGTATGAAGTTATGACTATGATAAGTGAAAACAAGTTTTGAAAAAACATGTTTTAAAGTATATTTTATATAAAAGAGACCTAAACAATCAGCATGTCATATTATGACTTTTGACTAGATTAGAATATTGAAAATATATTGGCACGCACAATATAGGTTAGAAAAAGACTAGCTTACTGTTTGTCCCTTCTGAGTAAAAAGTGATTTTAAAAAATATCACCTGAGAAGATAATTTAGAGAAAAGTGCTGTTTTATCAGAATGTCTATTTGTGAGACACATCTCTTGCCACTTGGCAAAGCAGGGTTCTGGATTGAATTCTTTGATCTCAGGACCATTGGGACGTATAAGATCTTTTCAAGCATATCTCTGGAAAGCGAATGCCTTCAATCACCAAGGATGGGCTTCATCAAAGAAAACTGCTTTTCTACCTCGGCTGTGGATGATGGCAAAAAAAAGATTATATGAGCCAAAATGAGACAGATTGGGAACTTCCCTTGCTTTTTTCGTTTATCAGGATTGATCTTGTCTTGTTCTCATTCAGAGGTATTGAACCCTGACTTTCGGAGAGAAACATGAGCCACTCTTCCTGTATTTCAGTGTTGAGCATCCTTGGTGTTGAAGCACAGTCTCATAATGAGCTATCAAGTCATCCATCTGTGTCTCACCATATTCTTTCAGCTCATCCATTTTGTCAGTTCCAGGCACACTTGTCCAGTCAAATGTCCTTGCACTCTTCAAAACTTTGTCTTCTCTTGTGCCAGAAAATCTTTCTTCCAAGCACAGGACAAGCTTAATCTACACATCTTTCATGGTTTGTTTATAATCATCACGCTTGCACTTTCTCTCTCATCTGCAGTCTTCTTTTTCATCCAGAGCTTTTTTCAGACATTGTTGAGGTTTGGTTATCATTGATGTGAGTGTGTTTGCACTAGCCATGACAAAATGGACACCATGGTCAAGATGAGCACTGTGTGACTGAAGTTTTGATGAGATTTCAGACAACTGACAGTAACTTAGTGACAGAATGTCTTCATACCTTTCCCCCCCCCCTCTCTCTCTCTCTCTCTCTCTCTCCCTCTCTCTCCCTCTCTCCCTCTCTCTCTCTCTCTCTCTCTCTCTCTCTCTTGTCAGAATGAAGAACTATTTCATGACACAAACAAGATGGTTGTTACTATAAATATCGGCCAATGGCGCACTCCTAACGTTCTCTAATTAACTTAACTATATACTATCTGCTTGTGGTTTCCCTAAGTAGGCCAACTACTGATTACCGTTGCCTTTAATTTAAAAAAACAAACAAGCAAGTAGCCTTCTTAAAATTAGGCTATAATTGTGAGGACCGGTAGGCATCAGATACTTTCTGCTCTTGACATTTCGTTCTTGCATAACCATAGATCTAGATCTAGTGG